CGTCGTTGTTGGGTGGTTTTTCGAGGGTTAACTGCACTTGCGGGCCTCGTCCTCCCCCGGGGAGGGGAGGAGGGGGGGAGGCGGAGAGTTTTAGAAGAGTTAATCGTAACGTTTGTCAACGGTCTTAGACTACTATGAATACCTCAAACCAAGACAAGGAAGAGCGACGACAACCCTCCCGATCTGCTCGGCAACTCACTGATGACCCCCCCGCCCCCGCTCTTCAACCCCCCCCTCTTGCGGAACCACAGCCTACCATGTCCTGGGCAAGAATAGCCGCAGGCGGGCCGAGACCAAAGCCGAAGCCCGCGCTGGTCCCTGCCGCAGCCCCTCCCGCAACGACTGGGCTAGCGCAGCAGCCGTCGATGACGGTGCCGGTATCCCAGCCTCCTCCACCGACTGAGGCTGTTGTTAGCGGTGCTATACCGGTAGCAGCGGCACCCGGCGACGAGGACGGACGGGAATCGAACCGGATACAACAGGGTGGTCGTGCGGCGACGACGCGAATACAGGAGCAAGCAGTAGAGGTTGCCGGACGTGATAGCGGTGTCGTTGACGCTGGAGGCGGTGGTGTCGTGGCGGGTGCGTCATCGCCGGTAGGGGAACCAATCGGAGGTGCTGCTGCTCCTGCCGAAGGGCCCGCTGCCGCCGCAGGACGACGGGCGGGGGAACAAGGTTCTGCAGAAGAAGACGGCGGTCCTGTGGTCGTCTCCGAAGAAACAACAATCACAGCAACCGGAGACAGCAGTGGCGCGACCGAGGCCGTCGTAGATACCGTAGACACAGCCGCCACGGAGGCTGCCGAAGCCCTGGCGAAGGAGGAAGCGGAGGCTGCCGAGGCTCTGGCGAAGGCAGAAGCGGAGGCGAAAGCAGCCCAAGACGCGGCGGGCCTGGCCGAGAGGGTTTGGGAGTCGCTCCTACAGCTACTCGGTGGTGAGGACGGCTTCATCGCGGCCGGGGGGGCGGTGGGGCTAGGGGCCGGGGTCCCCGCGGGGGGGTTGGTGCACCGGGGTCTTATCAACACCGGCAACAGCTGCTTCCGGAACGCGGTGCTTCAGGCGCTGCTGGCGTGTGAGCCGTTTGTACAGTGAGTCGCAGGTGGACTGTTGTGTGTGCGTCGTTAGATTTTGGAGCTGCACGCGGCGTTGAGTTTTGTCTTTTGAGCGAACGGCCTGTGGGGCGTTGTGTGCTTTTGACGCCGTCTCGCGACCTGGCAGGGATGAAAAAAACGTCCTTTATTTTGTTTTCTTGCCGTTTGTATTCCCCCCTCCCCTGCTCGCCTCGACCAACCCCACCACTGAACCCCCATCAGACCAGTGTCCCCCCCCCCCCCCCCCCAAACACCACACGAGTTCTCCGCCCATTACACCCAACCTTTTCGCTGTTTGCTCCGTTTGCACTTTGACGATACATTAGGGTACTCTTCCGGGCAGCCCCGGGGCTACGAGATTCCATCCCCGCCAAGGAGGCGTTGCCGACATGGGCCCAGCTAGCGCGATTCGCGGCCGCGTTCGAACCACCCAAGCCTGGGGACGCCGCACCCCTCGGCAGCGGTGGCAGCAGTAGTGCCAAGGGGGCTTGGTCAACCGCCGGTGGTAGAAGTAGGGGCGGCGGTGGTGGGCGTTACCACCGGGCAAGTTCGGCGGCGGCGGAGCCTGTGTTGCCGGACGAGGTATGCACGCGCTTACATTGCAAAAGCTTTCATAGAAGCAGTACCCCCGTGGGATGGTTGGTGGATAACTTCTTGACATTCGTTTGGCAACACGCTACGCGCTTTACATCCCATGTTTTCTTGGTAAAATCTTGAATGCGGTTAGCTATACCCGGCATGTGAAGAATTAATCAACCGACATTTTTGAGTTCATAATGCAACACACGGGATGCTACACGTGCGATGATTTACTTGGTAAGTTTCTTAATTCACGTAGCAACAGGAAATGATGCGTGGAACAGCTTGATGCAAGCAAGCATGTCAAGCTAGTAGGGCGGCGGTGAAACATTCCTAGTCACCGGCCTTTTGGGCGAAGTGTACTTAGTGGGGTGCGTTATGTTTTGTCTGCGCTCAGGCCCGCACGTCCTCAAGAGACAAAGCTTGTGTGTGCGCTCACCCTGCAGGGAGTGTTGCTCCAAGGACCCCGTGGTCGAAGAAATGCTCGGAGATTGGTACAGGAATACCCCTAGACGCAGCGTGCTGTTGGGTTATGTCGAAGAAGGCGGTCAGGTTCTTTCGCGACAACGGCGGCATGCATAGCAACCGAGGATGTTGCTGCGTGCCGGCTGGAACAACGTGATTTGCGTTTCGAGCCATGGGCGCGGCTCTGTTGTTTTATTTTTTTGCATGCCGCCAATAGCCGCAGGATCATCATTCAAGGAAAATAAAAAGATGAATGCGCTGCTTGTTCTTCGTTGGTGGTAGGTGATTCGAGCCTTGCCAACACACCCAACACGTACATGCAAGCCACAAAACGGGAGACCGAAAAATGCCGCCAGAAACACCAAACTTGCCTCTCGACTGCAACCAAGGACCTGTTGCTATGCCCCGCGCGAACGAATACGCCCGCAGGCCATGTCAAGAGCCTTCGGGGCCTTCCGGGCGGCTAGCTTGGGGGAGCAGGAGGACGCGCAAGAGTTTCTCGCGTTCTTCCTGGACCAGCTGCACGAAGAGATCGTAGACGCGAAAAAGAACAAACCGAAGCCCGCTTCCGACGGGGGGGATAGGGGGGGATCCGCAGATTCTGGGACGGGCGCGGGTGGGGGGAAGCAACAGGGTGGAGGAAAAGAAGACGACGCCTGGCTTGAGGTCGGAAAAGGAGGAGCCAAGGCTGTGGTGAACGCGCCGGATCCTCGCAAGAAGGTTTCGAATTCGTCCGTGGTGCGTACTGTACACCATTTTGTTCTCGTTTTTTTTTGGTCGGTTACCCGTCCGTATATTCAGAGAGAGAATACCCGCGCCCCGACTTTTTGAGAACCTGACAGTTGTGGACTCCGGCGTCAGAGTTATGTAAGGTATCAGGAGTTGACCAGATGCTCAAGTCATACACTAGCGCCTACAAAGTCGATTTTGGGTTAGTTTCTCCACAGCAGCAGAGCAAATGAGCAACGAGCCCAGGGCGAACGAAGGAATTTACTCACGTCCCGGCGCGTTCTGTGCATATCCTCTGAGGATTTGCATCTCCATCTACGTGCCCCCCTCCTCTTTGTGTTCAACGACAGGTGACGGGACTGTTCTACGGAATGTTCCGGTCGGAGGTGAAGAAGAGCGGCAACGCCAAGTCTTCGGTCACTCTTGAAGCCTTCCATTGCTTGCAGGTAAATGGGAGGCTCACCGTTGCGCCTGTGCGGTAGGTTGCATTTTTTTTCTTCTTCTTTGCGGAAGATTCGAAAACAGCCGTGGACCGATTGTCACAGACGACAGCTCGAATGCAGTAGAGGTCCCTATTTAGTGCCGGGGTGTGCGCCGAAATATCACCGGCACTAAACCGGACACTGGCACTATTCGAAGTACAGAACGACTTGGTATTCCAGTGTGTGCGAGCCGAAAACACCGGCACTATACCGGCACTAAACAAGGACCTCTACTGTAACCCGTTTCCATGCCCTACCTCCCTCGCCCCCCTCAAAATCGCAACACAGTTGGATCTAGACCTGCCATCATCACCATCACCCCGGAACAACATTTGGCCCGAGACGTTTACAGGGGGAGGAGGAGGACCAGGAGGAGGGGGAGGCTCCGCGTGGGGATCAGGGACCGGGGGGTTCGACTCATCAAATGGCGGAGGTGCGACCGGGGGTGTTATCGAACGTACTATGTTGTGGTTAAGATCTTTTCACCGCACATCAACGCATCCCTCGCGATACGGAGACCCCGTTCTTTGTCCTCGCGTTACTGTAATCCGAGACATCGATCTGTGAACGGGAGGGCTCCAGGACAAGGTGGAGGCGGGGTGTACTCATTGTCGATGGGTGCCGGGGATCGTTAGACCATTGACCTCGCAACTCTACGAAGCCGGGACGGAGCACGCCGGGTTCTCACCGACCAGGCTCTCAAGGTGGGGGCGGGGGGGGACAGGTTTTCTAGCTGTTTGCGTGACTGCTGTTCTCCTACGCGCACATTCACGCCCGTCCTTAAAAGGCTCTAAATATTAACGCTGTCCCCGAGGCAGATCTCGTTTTCTCTCTTCGGTACCACTCGGTCGCCCCGGTGGTCTAGTCTAGTGGTATCCTCGTAAACCGCTAGTCGCAGAGGTGGTGAGTTCGAATCCCTACGGGATGTAAAAAAAATTGCAAACTGTGCGGGTGAAAGCGAAACAAAGCTGAAAAGCTCTCGTGAGTACCAAACTTCGACGTTAGCACCGTTGACGAGGGAAAGGGACGGCTGGACCCTTCCCGCGATAAAAATAAAGTTCAGCACGCACCCCAGGGGGAAAG